CTCCCTCCACACTCACACACTTTCACCAGACATTCACTCAGAGTTTAAACAATAACAACTTCCCAACTCCTGAGGGAGCTCTACAGCCTCCCCCAATCTCCTTGAAATGATCAATCACAATACCCAAAGGAGCAGTCTGAGTCCGTCCCATAACATCCGTCCAGTAAGTCCACAGAAAACAGAAAAACACAGACACAGACAAACAGAGGGCCCCAAAGAACAGCCTTCCAGCTCCATGGAAGCAACTAGACGATGGCCTTACGCCAAACCGGCGGGAGCAACCCGCCTCGTCTCAGATTCTCAGATTGAGGGGGTTCCTACAGACCTTCCGACTCCGCGGAAGCAAAAGTACACCCCTCCAGATGGGAGGGTCGAGGCGTCCCCCGACTCCTCCCGCACTTGATCCCCCTGTGCGTCCACTTAGATCATTGCGGGGGATTACAGATTTCAGAAGTGAGCTCACACAGAACAGATACAGAACAAGTCCCTGAACAGAGGCAGTAGAAAACTGCCTAGGAATGCTTCTCTTCTACCTTTAGGCCAGATTCGAACCCTTAGCCAGTCCGAGTTTTGACGGTGAGTACCATCTAGAAGCCATTCCTTCAGATACAGGAAAAGTCCCTTAGAGATAACATATATCACACAGAACAGAATACACAACACACAGACACTTACCGCGGCCAGTCAGACTCTACGGATTGGGGGGGGTCCCTCAATGGTTTTGGGGATCCCGGAGGAGCCCCCAAATGTTATGCCCAGATTTCAGGATCCCCAAGAAACCACATCAGGGAGCCAGCCAGTCCGATGCAAAAGCATAAGAGTCTTTATTCGAGCTAGCTCGGCTCCCCCACCTTGCCGACGCAGCGACAGGAAGCAGAGAGAGAGCTAACTCTGTGTGGAGACCGGTTATATAGGGGGAGTTGGAGGAAGGGGAGGAGAAAGGACTGTGCTCTGCCGATTGGCCAGGCACAAGTCTGTGTCTTGTTCCTGGGTGTGGCTAGTAGAGGCTTAGACTTCGGGGAAGAAGCTCCTTGCCAAGCACGTGGCCAAGGTAAGATGGAGCACTTACCCTGGGGCAAGGTGGAGGGCCTAGCCCTTACCCTGGGACAAGGTGGAGGGCCTAGCCCTTGCCCTTTCACTCCATCCACTATGTTTATAGCTATGCTCAGTCATTGCTTGCCAGTCTTCTTCCGAGTCTTAAACGGCCCAATCTGAGAGGTGGCCACTGATTTTCATGCGCTATCATTTAAAAAATAAGAAAGGGGGAATTTGCCGGAAGCCAGTCCATCCTTGCTGCTTGACACAGTGGCTGCAGGAAAGAAACATCTGCACAGCATATGTTTCAAGGGACCTGGCGTATATGGCATACTGTTCTTAATATGTTTGCTCCCCTTAGTGCTATGTGTTTTAACCAAGGTCACTTCTCCGAGAAAGGTTGTTTCCCCAGGTAGGGATTTTTCCCTGAAGTTAGGGAGGGGATAAAACCCCTTAACTAAGTGCCAGGCGGGTAGTTAATCACTTTAACTACAAACAATCACGCTTAAGCAACATAATCTTTACTCCCTGGAATGGAGATAAGAAACGCCCTAACCTTTGCAATAGAAATTGACAGGATTAAAATCAACTGGTATAGATACAGATGTAACAAGACAATAAACACCAGAACCTGGCTGGAGATCCTGGCTAGAGATCCTGGCTAGGCTGCTGATCAACTGAATGCTGTCTCCGTGTCATTCCTTCTTCACCGACTCCGTCCACACCTTGGGGAACCCCTGGACCTGCTGAGGTTGGACCCCAACACCCACACCCTTCCTCTCTGAAATCAATAAAAAATATATATATTTGAAAAACACATTAAAATAGGTATATTTTGTTTCAAATCATTCTTTCCTAACACTTGTGTTGTAATTTTCAGTTGCACTATCATAATTAATCCATTTTAGATTTCACAAGAAATATTACAAAACCCAATGCTGCTTATTATGCCTGCCCTTTTCATCTCTCCGTCTTGAGATCCTTACTGAATTAATTAATCACATCAGATACTATGCATAGATGTTTCTGAGTTCCTGTTCCTTTAAAGCAGCGGTTCTCAACCTGTGGGTTGCGACCCCCTTTAGGGGTCGAACGACCCTTTCACAGGGGTCGCCTAAGACCATCGGAAAACACATATATAATTACATATTGTTTTTGTGATTAATCACTATGCTTTAATTATGTTCAATTTGTAACAATGAAAATACATCCTGCATATCAGATATTTACATTACGATTCCTAACAGTAGCAAAATTACAGTTATAAAGTAGCAACGAAAATAATTTTATGGTTGGGGGTCACCTCAACATGAGGAACTGTATTAAAGGGTGGAGGCATTAGGAAGGTTGAGAACCACTGCTTTAAAGTCACCCTTTTACTTTCACAGAAGAGTATCATCCAGGACAGCTGCATGAATAGCACTCTCCTTCCAATGTGGAGTCCAGTTCCAGCCCCATTATCTTCCCTTACAGAGTAACCCATTTCCCTATCAAAGTTCATAATGTTTCTCCTCTGTCCTTGGGGTTCAGGAAGCCCATGCGAGTATGTTTGGCTGTGTCTTTCTCAGTAAATCTTGCCTGAAACTAGGAGTGATGCCTCTTTCGCATCTATCTGTCTTTCTTTCCGATAAGCCCTGTTTTGTGCAGGTAGTCACAGCTCCTGAACTCTAGGCCTTTCTGTTCGCCCCAAGTTGTCTTCAGTGAACATGTATTATCAGAAAAACTGCCGGAAGTCGGTCCATCCTTGCTGCTTGACACAGTCGCTTCAGGAAAGAAACATCTGCACAGCATATGTTTCAAGGGACCTGGCGTATATAGCATACTGTTCTTAATATGTTTGCTCCCCTTAGCGCTTATGTGTTTTAACCAAGTTCACCTCTCCAAGAAAGGTTGTTTCCCCAGGTAGGGATTTTTCCCTGAAGTTAGGGAGGGAATAAAACCCCTTAACTAAGTGCCAGGCGGGTAGTTAATTGCTTTAACTAAGAACAATCACGCTTAAGCTACATAATCTTTACTCCCTGGAATGGAGATAAGAAACGCCCTAACCTTTGGAATAGAAATTGATAGGATTAAAATCAACTGGTATAAATACAGATGTAACAAGACAACAGGACACAGAACCTAGAGACAGAACCTAGGAGAGAACATGGCAAAAGATCCTGGACAGAACCTGGCTACAGATCTTGGCTGGAGAACCTAGACAGAACCTGGCTGGAGAACCTGGCTAAAGAACCTGGTGAGAGAACATGGCACCAGAACTTGGTTGGAGATCCTGACCAGAACTTGGTTGGAGATCCTGACCAGAACTTGGCTAGAGATCCTGACCAGAACTTGGCTGGAGATCCTAGCCAGAACTTGGCTGGAGATCCTAACCAGAACTTGGCTAGAGATCCTAACCAGAACTTGGCTAGAGATCCTAGCTAGGCTGCTGATCAACTGAACGCTGTCTCCGTGTCATTCCTTCTTCGCCGACTCCGTCCACACCTTTGGCGACCCCTGGACCTGTTGGGGTTGGACCCCAACAAAAAACGAAGAGCTATATATCTGTTTTCTTTTAATTACTCCACTTAGCCCTGACATTTTTATGATTCTGGCATAAAAGATCCCTTTTCTCTTTGGGGACCTTAGCTTCCCTGGGTTAACCCTGATGGGTGTGGGAGCTGTATGGACGTGTGACCTGACAATACTGTGGGCACTCTGTGTGCTTAAGATCTTTTCTTCTTCTCAGGTTGGTCCTGCACTTTGGCGGTGGTGGCTTCCTGGCATTTTATAATTGTCAGATGTCTTGGAGCTCTTCCCCAGTGGTCCAGCCCACCTCTGACATCTTATCTGAAAAGTTCCATCGAGGACAAGCCTTGGAAGCTCTGGGCCGGGAGCAGCCTGTCTGCTATACACTGTTGGACCAAAGATGCTTCTCAGGCTTAGGTATGACTGATGCGAAAGGGATGATCCCCACCAAGTTATTTAATAGAAAAGTCACTCATCTGGGAGACACAAAATGGAGACCTACCCCACATGTGAATACTACTGGTCTTACGGTGATCACGTACCCTCTTTAGCTTCACTTCCCTCATGTTTAAACTGAGGCACTTGGATTAGGCAGTTTCTGACTTCTTTCCTGGCTTCAGAATTCATATCTTAATTCTGTTATCAGTAGTGGTCTGCCTGACAGCATAGTGTGTGACCTCCAAAAGGCAGAATCATGTCTCATCCGCCCTTAAGTCCTCCCCTGCCTAGCACTGTGCCTGGGACACAGTGGGTGCTTGATAGGTGTCTGTTAGGAACCCCCAAGCCATGCAATTTGCTAATGGATAGCGGTGCATTTGCTAATGGGGGCTGCTCTCAGGCAGATGGAGCTGCCTGCTAGTCAAAGCAGAGATATCTCAGCTCTACATTAGGATTTTATAAGACACAAGTGAAGAGGCAGGTTCCCACTCTGTTCCTGCTCAGTGAAACTGAGCATTTTGAGGAGGAGGGAAGAGTTGAGCAATTTGAAAACTAGGACAGCTAATTAGCTGGACTATTTCCAGCAGTGGGGCACCTATGATTGGCTGCTGAGGCAATAGGGTGAGCTAATGACAGTCACCTCCATATCCAAAACAACATTTTCTCTGCTGCAGGTGCAGCTCACCTCCTAAGGGGGAACGAGGCCAACTGGTTTAGTCACCAGACAGTGGCCTTGCATTTTTATGTTAGGACCATGGGAGTCCCTGCACCTTGAGAAGCAAAGGGTCTTGCAGAAGTGGCCTTTAGGGTATATATAGCAAGAGCTAGTGCTCTACTAACAAATCGTTATTATGAACAATAGTAATAAGCGCCAACATTTTTCAAGTGACTCTAATATGCTAAGGTTTCATCCTTATTGCTTTTCTGTAGGGTGGTTATTTCCTTTTGTTCTGGTGAAGAAATTAAAGCAAAGGACATATTGCTATAAGTGGTACAGTGAGACAGGAATCCAGGTAGTCTGCCAGTGAATTTTAGAGAGAAGTGTTGTGTGTAGCCATGAGTGTGATTATGAAGCTCTTGGAAAGAACAGTGATTTCATTCATCCATTCACTCCACACGTGCTGAACGCTTGCCTTCTACCAAGCCCAACCTTTGCTGGTTAAGGAGATTATTGTTTAACGGCCCAGCAAGCATGGACTTTAGTTCACCGTAACTTGAGATAGACAGAAATAAATGCCTGGTAGAGATTAAAGAAAGTGCATTGTTGGAACATTATGAAGAGAATTATTGACTCTGGAAGGAGGGATCAAGGCTGGCTTTATAGGTAATGAAGCAGGAGTAGATAAACAATAAAATAATACCTCCTAAACACTTTTATATCTTAGGCATTATGTTTGACATTTTAAACAATAATAACAGCTATTACTTATTGACTACTCTATATACCAGCCACTGTGCTCAGCATATGTGTGTGTAAATTCTCTTTACTGCTCACAAAAGCTAGGTAGCATCCCATTTTACAGATAAGGAAACTGAAGCCTAAAGAAGCGGAGAAACTTGCCAGGGCCACAGAGCTAGGATCTGGATGAGCTGGGTAGTCGGGTTGCAGAGCCTGTTTTGATAACCACTTTGCTGTAACATGGGCCATGCATGTTTTATCTCCTTTCATCTTCACAACAACCCTAAAAGTAAGTATTACCAAACTTATTTTTTTAAATATTTTTATTGATTTCAGAGAGGAAGGGAGAGGGAGAGAGAGATAGAAACATCAATGATGAGAGAGAGCATTGATCGACTGCTTCCTGCATGCCCCCACTGGAGATCGAGCCCACAACCCAGGCATGTGCCCTTAATCATATTCGAACCCGGGACCCTTCAGTCCACAGGCCGATGCTCTATCCACTGACCCAAACCGGCTAGGAAACCAAACCCATTTTATAGACAGGGACATCAACTTTAGGATTACAGACTTACCCAAGAGCCTCCAAACATGGCAGAGCTGGCTCCCGTCTTCCTCAGGCTCTCCCCTGCTGCCCTCACACCAGCTTCATTAACTTTGTGGGCTGGCTTCATTTTAGACGTGTCCTTGACTCTTCCCTTGTCCTCTCCCTGCTTTCTTTCAGGGAACATCATTAAGAATGAAGCCTTGTACAGAGCTGGGATCCATCCCCTTTCTCTCGGTTCACTCCTCAGTCCTCGGCAACTTGAGATCCTCGTGGATCATGTGGTGGAGTTCAGTACAGACTGGCTTCAGGACAAGTTCCAGGGCAGACAGAATCACACACAGATCTACCAGAAAGAGCAGTGCCCTGCTGGGCACCAGGTCAGGAAGGAGGCCTTTGGGCCTCCAGGTGGCTTCCAGAGGCTCACCTGGTGGTGTCCCCAGTGCCAGCCCAGGCTGCCACCTGACGAGCCAGAACAAGTCCAGCTTCCCTAGGGCCCTTGGGCCCCTTCACAAAACCTTGCCCTTCAGGGAGCTTGATGCTTGAGTGTAGAGAAAGGGGGTGTGGGCAGGGATTGGGACTAGGGGCAGGAGTTAGAGGTGAGGGTGGTCAGGAGGGTATCAGTCCTGTTGATATTCATCTCACTGAAGTTGAGTTTTCACAGGGTTAGATTATTTTTTGAGTGTTGTTTAATTCTTCCTAATTCTGCCATTGTGAAAGATGAGAAAAGTTATGTTGACAGTTATGGGAAAAGCCTCCCAGAACAAGTGGGTTAATGAAAATATAAGTCTGTGGAAAATAGCTGTGCCCCACCATTGTTCTGTTTGGTTTGGTTTTGGTTTTGAAACTTTGGTTGTTTTAAGGCCCTCCATTTGAGAATCAGGAACACGGAATTATCTTTCTTCATCCCCCTGGAGAGATCCAGGGATGAGAATGGAGTAGCATGAGGGTCATGCTCGGATTCAGCCTCCTGCCTGGGTCCTTTTCCATGGGATGGAGACACCAGGAGAAAGGGCAGGGGCGGGGGGAGCTGGCCACCTTTCTGATGTGCCCAGTGGACTTTAGAGCAAAGCTACTTGTTTCCTCCTAAGGTGATATATTTCTGACCATTGCTATGTGGAACCAGCAGGAATCAAGGTTGTGGAGATACAGTGTAAAGGTGTTAGCAACAGCTGGAAGAAACTAGGACATTTAAATAAAGCTCTTTGACACTTCCTGTTGTCATCTTTATTTGGCAGGAATAGTCCTTAAAATATAAGTAACTGAGTTCTTTGGCTGCATAGGACTTGTTGAAGTGGCCTGATGGATCCACTTAAAAGGAAGAGGGCAGGGGTTAGGGGAGGTGGAGGAAGGTACAGGGGGGATACATGGTGATGAAAGAGGACTTGACTTGGGGTGGTGAACACACAGTATAGTGTACAGATGATGTGTTGTGGAATTGTGCACCTGAAACCTGTATAATTTTGCTAACCAGTGT